AAAAAAAAAACAAAGAGTAAGAGAGAGGAGAGAGAGAGATAATTGTCCTTTCAGTTTAAAATAGATGCTCATACTTTCAAAGTTGATTCAGAATTGAGCATCAAATCAGAACAAAATAACCTTCTTTCTACACATGGTTATAAGATGTTTATCAACCAAACTCCCTGTTTTGTAACCAAGCTTCTTAAAATACTGTCTTATATGGCTGGGGTTGTGACTCAGTGTGATAGAATGCTTGCCTAGCATGTGTGAGGCACTGGGTTTGGTCCCCAGCATCACATAAAAATAAACAAATAAATAAAGGTATTTTTTTTAAAAAACACTGTCTTACAAAATAAATAAATAAATACTGGTTTACATATTTAAGCTTCTAAATTCTCATTTCTTACTTATTCTTCAAAGAATTATAATTTGACTTCTGCCCTTCCTGCGTTTTAAAATGACTCATTAAGCTTTTCAGTATCTCGTTGCCAAAAACTGGGACATTTCTCATCCCTTTTTGTATGATTTGATAATATTCAGTTGTTCTCCATTTTGAGAAAGTCTCCCTTGGCTATGTTTTATTATCTTCTTTATCATTTCTTTCAGCTGTCTGCCATTCTTTCTCAGCTTCCTTTCTTGACCCCTTTCCTCTGAAAAACTGCCATGCACTGATGTATCCCAGGGTTCCCTTCCCAGCATTACCTCTCATAGCTTCAGCTGTCACCCACTGCAAATCCACATCACAGCCCATCCTTTTCCAGACCTGTATTTCTGACTATGGATTGCCTTTATTCTTTTCACTGGATGTTGGGATACACTGAGGTCTAAAATAGGACTCCTCTTGCCTGCCTCTCCCTAAATAAAACCTTTGTCCCAGTCAAAATCCTTTAACAACAAAAAGCTTTGCCCTTTCCCATATTTCATGTCTTGGTGAATAACCAGAGTCCTTCTAAATAACTCCCTGTGTCCCTGCTCTTCTCTCCAGTCACTTATTCCTGTTGACTGTACATCATAATATATCTTATTTATACTCTCTCATCTTCCTTATCTGGGTTTTACTTCCTAAGTGGACTTCCATCCTCCAACCTAAAACTTTTCCAGTCTTTCTTCCATGTTACTATAATAGTTATTTAAGAAGCATGGCTGATTGTCTCGTTCTCCTCTCAAGTTTTCGCTGGTTCTGTCTTGCCAACAGTATGTAGTCCAACTGCTTATGGCTAGCCCTTCCTTTTCTCATCCTGCACTCCCACCCATGCTGTAGCCATATGGAAAGCCTGCGTTCCCTCAGCATCCATGCTCTTTTCTCACCTCTGTGCCATTACACTTACCTTGAATATAGTTTCCTATTTTGTTTGCCTAAGGACTAGACTCCTATGCTTTCTCTGTACAGCTTCACCAGGGTAATCCCTTGCATAGTTAGGTGCCCAATTTATTGCTTCCCTAGTTTTGATAGTGACTGGTGATTCTTGTGTTGCATTGATAATATCTTTAACCATGTTTTTTTTTCCTTGCATTGGACCATGAGATCTTTGAGAACAGAGGCTGTGGCATATTCATGCTTCTATCCCCGACACCTAGCCTATAGTAACAAGTTAGTCCTAGTTTGCAGAATGGGTCATTGTTTCATCCAAAACAGCCTTACCTTTCACATTCCTGTTCTAGTAAGCTTATGAATTCATCACTCTTCACCATATATTCTTTATGTTTTCTTTTTTCTTCCTCCAACTGCAATATGGTTTGCCTGTGGGATTTTTCTACCATTAAAAGTTGTTCCAAGATTCGTCTGTGAGATTCTTTATGTTTTTCCACGACTTTGTCCAACTACAAAAGAAAATGCATTTATAACCTGTTAACTACAATACTGCCATCTTTCATTCTTTTATAAGTGTCTATTTTGACTAATTCAGTGGTAAGTTTTTGATCTCATGGTTTAGTTTTTATCATTACTCATGTTAATTGATACTTTTTGGTTGATATGTTTTTTAACACAAATGTCTTTTTATGTCACCAAAATTTTCCAGGGAGAATAATCTGTATCTCTGTGGATATCAGAATGCTTTCTTCATGTCCCTTTTCTGACACCCTTGCTTCTCTCCCCAGAGATTTTAATGATTGAGAGAGAATCCTTGTACATTGTTTGATTCTGCAGTTGCCCTGGCTGATCTCTTCTTCCCTGGCCTACCCTGCAATATTGTCTGCCAGTGTATATCTCTTGGATCCTTTGGTCTGTTTTGTTTTTATTATGCATCAAAGTATTTTCATTAAAATAGATATATAGATAATTAATCTGTGTTGGTGTGTAGTATGTGTGTGACCAAATGTTAAGTGCCAAGTCCTTTCTAGTTTTCATAGCACCATACTTATGTCTTTGTTATAAAATGATCACCCTGCACCTGATTTATGTTTCTCTTCCCTACTAGATGATTAACTCCCCAAGGATACAGTCTACATCCACTATTTCCTAAAATCTTAGCATCCAGAGTACCATGCTTCATATAAGCACCCTTTAGTATATGTTTACAGAGTGAAAACAAAATAATTGGGTAAGGAAATCAAGAAAGAAAGGAAGAAAAGAAGGAGAACACCTAGAGCAAAAGTGGCTCAGGATCTTAATGATTAAGATCATGGTTTTCAAAGCATGGGACTTTCTAGATTAAGCATTAGATGCTGTAACTGATATGTTACTTGCCCTTTGCCTTTATTGTAAAGGGTTGAAAATTTGTTACTCAGCATGACTTTACAACCATATAGCATTTTTAGGATATTAAGTGGGCATCCCAAAAGCTATGTACTTGACCAGAAATACAAATGAATAGAATTATGAAAGTGTGTGTCCCAGCATGTAGAACCCAATGATTTCTTCTTTTTTTTTTTTTGCATTTTTTTTAAATTTATTTTTTAATTATAGGTGGATACAATATTTTTAAGTAAATTTTTTATTTATATATGACAGCAGAATGCATTACAATTGTTATTATATATTTAGAGCACAATTTTTTATATCTCTGGTTGTATACATAGTATACACCAATTTATGTCTCCGTACATGTTCTTTGGATAGTAAAAATCATCACATTCCACCATCATTAATTACCCCATTCCCCCTCCCTTCCCCTCCAATTCCTCTGCCCTATCTAGAGTTCATCTATTCCTCTCATGCTCCC